TTGCATTATTTGTTACAAATAATCAGCTTATTTTGTAGTTAGAAAATCAATGTCAAATGAGTTCTGGCTTTCTCCAGAAATATTCATTATGGGTAAGTTTTCTTCCAGATTGAATAAATAGCGTTTCAAACTGTGGGTTGTATGAAGACTTCTCTGTTTGCTACAATGCACCCCTCGTGTTGTGAGATTAGTTACTGAAGAGACATTGCACTTTGTTGTACTGGACAACTGAAATGGTTGAAACAGGAGAAATAAAATGTAGTGGTTAGAGATGAATGCGATTTCCTATATTACATTTTATATAAATCATTATTCGTGCTAAAATGTGTGGAAATGTTAGGATTCACAGAAACTTTTCTGAATACATAGCACTAGTACAAATACTTCTGCATACTAAATAATAGAACCTCGTTAATCTTAGCAAACAGAATTAATTGTTTTTATTCACAAAAACAATCACACTGCTACTGTTTGGCCAGCCTGAAGTTGAACTGTGTGATAATGAAATGGTGTGCTAGACGATTTCAAAAACTTGGCAGGGGAAAACTAGGTTCCAAAATACGTTTGCCTGCATCATTTTGGATAACAATGAAGCTAACACAAGTTTAATGTCCCACTTAAACTCTATTTTAGGTTTAAACAAAACACCCTTCCAGAAGATGCTCACTATAGTCATTATTTTCATCAATACTCAGGTACCCTACTTCTATCACTAGTCAGAATGGTCCTGATGATTCCTTTGGGGTGAATTTTAGCACTGTTGACAACTGCCAGAATGACAAACCTGGAGACTAAAATCGTCTATTTTTACACCCACACACACACACAACTACACTACTATAAGACACCTTAACAAGGCATAGTGCAAGGGAAGTTTGTATTGCCATTGACTCTATTGTACCTAATTTTTGGTAAACAGCTGTCAGTTCAGCACCTTTCTCTGGCTCTAAATTCACTTTAAAGATTTCTTTTTTAATTTAAAGCTTCTATACATTTTAGGAGAGAAGAATTGGATCCTTGGAGTCAGGGCTTGGTCTTATTTACATCAGTGTAAATCTGGAGATAGTCTGTTGACTTCATTGGAGTGACTCGAGATTTACACTCATGCATCCGAGAGCCCTTGGACTGTCTGAGAATAATATATAGTGGTAAATAAAGAAAGAGGGTTTTGCTTTGGGCTTTACACTGGTGTGAAATAATTGTCAGTGGTGTTATTTTGAATTTCCAGCTGTTAGCGACAGCATAATTAAGCCAAAATTGTTCATTATGGAGGATCATACATTCATAGAGGTTACAGATGGATCTAGCTGCAAAAAGGGAATTTGCCCAATCACAGAAACCCATAGAGCAGGCTTGTAGGAGTCCTGTTTCATTATCATATTTCTGAACATAAACTAGAAATAGGTCTGAATCAATATCCAAAACCTCAGAGCTGAACACCTTGCAAGCACTGTGTGCGCGACAGGGCATTTGCCCTGCACTGGCCCTTTAAGGGCAAAACCCCAGCCTGGAGTGAGGGCTGACAGTGAAGCCCCAGCTGAGGCAGCTCTGATAATGAGGGCCCAGCTGGGGGCTATATAAAGAAGGACTCCTGGAGAGAGGAGAAGGACTGCTGCTCTAGCTGGAGAGCAGTAGGGACCTGACTGCCAGGGAAGCGGGAGGCTTCCTGGAGGTAGAGCAGTGCTGGGGAGGGAAGGCAGGGCTGGAGAGGCTCTGGCCAAGTAAGCCCCCCAAGCTGCAAGACCTGAACCTACTGGGGCTGTGGGAGGCAGCCATGGTAGGCAAGGCTACGAGAGGCAGCCACAGTTGGGAGAGACAGCAGGTCCACACCCTTTTGCCAGTGATGAGTGGTCATTACAGACTGCAGTGTGCCCCCAGAGGCAAAGGCTAGATGAAGACTGGCAGTGGGTCACTGAGGCAAGGTGGGTACAGGGGAAATTGGTGTTCCCAGGGAGAAGAACTGGGGGCACCTGGGAGAAGGGAGGACCCTGGAGTGTGCAGTAGAGTAAACAACATCCCCTCCCCCCGGAAGGGGGCGCAGAGAGACTGGAGTGGGCACTGCCGGAGGGCAATGTCCTGAAGAGGATGCCATGGTTAAAGGAGGACATGGGGAGATACCAGCTGGAGGAAGGTGCCCAATGAAACAACGAGCTCATTCCCCAAGGCAACCAGCTGAAGGTGCCATGCTGGTGAGTCTGCCCCATAACAGTGTGTTTGAAATCTAAACCAAGTTCTAGATTAGACTTTTTCAAATAGCCCCATCTTGATAATAGACCGAACACACACAACACGCTGATCTGAATATCCAGGAGCTCTGTGAAATGTGTATCCAAATTTTTGCACCTTGAGTCTCCATACTGGAGAGGAAACGGGACTAGAATGAATGTAAAGGGGGTTCTTTACCGAGGCTACTAGATATGGACAGACCCTGTGGATCTCCCTAGCTCTGTAGCTCCCAGACTGTCCAGTGTAGTTTCACCAGACACCACTCTCTAAATCTGTCTTGGTTAAGGAATCATGGGAAGAATGGCTGACTACATGGCAGAAACCGGTGCAGCTGCTTTTAACATTTAAAGACTCACCTGGCAATCCTTCCTCTGGAAACCTACAGTTCAAGTCAATGAGAGTTTTACCAGAAGAAGGCTGGTCAGCAGAGAAGAGAGTACAGTGCCAGCAGAGTGTTCTCTAAGTCTGTCTTCCCTGCAGCGCTAGCCTGAACTCTAAACTGGATGTTTACCTTAACCCCCTGCTGTTAACACAGAATCTCTTACTCAGGCTGGAGGACATTTGAGGCTTGGGATAGATACACTGCTGGGCTTGAGTTCAGCATGATGATGAAGATGAGGAGGAGGAGGATGGACCATCACTTTTTGCTGAGTCTGATCATCTTCCATGGGAGTTGTGGACCTGCAGGTGGCTGATAAGGCTGATCCTTGAACCATAAGTTTTATTACAGTGAGGACAGATGTTTCAAGGTACAGCAGGAGGCTGCTGACCATGACTGGAAGCCAGTCTCTCCTTCCTCCTGCGCCTCCTCTCCTCCTCAGCTTGTCTGTGGGCAAACTCAAAATGCAGGGAACCATTGCGTAGGATTTGTCTCCATTTTGAGCGATCCTGAGTGAGTGTCTCCCAAGTGTCAACGTCAATGTTGTACTTTAAGTGAACCTTTAGCAAGTCCTTATAACACTTCCATTGTCCTCCCATGTTACAGTACCGCTCTTTCAGCTGAGAAAACAGGACCCGTTTTCTTGCATCCGAACAAGATGTCCAGTCCAGCAAAGCTGCTGATGGATGATCATTGTCTCAATATTGGTTGTCTTTGCCTCTTCCAGAACACTGATGTTAGTGCACCTGTCTTCACATTTGATCTTCAAGAACTTGCAGAGGCAGCCTTGGTGATACCACTCAAGGACTTTCAAGTAATGTCTGTAGGTTGTCCAGGCTTCAGACCCATACAATAGTGTTGGGAGAATGACGGCTTGATAGATAAAAAGTTTGGTGTCTGTTCAAATGTCATGATCTTCAAAAATCCTGGGCTATAATGAGCAAAGGCTGCACTGGCACAGCTCAGATGATGTTGGATTTCCACATCAATATCTGTCCTGGATGAAAGACAACTTCCAAGGTAGAGAAAATGATTGACATTCTCCAGTGCCTCACCATTGATTTTTAGTAGATGCAGCACGTGGTACCTTATTTGGAGAGGGCTGATGGAGCACTTAGGTCTTCTTGATGTTGAGGGTGAGACCAAGACATGCATCAGCAAACCCATTCAAGATAGTCTGAAGATCTTTCTCAGAGTGGGCAAAATCTGCATTGTCATCAGCATACTAACGTTCCATGATAAATGTGGTGGAAATCTTATCTTAGCTTTCAGCCTGCTACGCCTAAACAGCTTTCCATCCATTCTGTAGTTGATTTCAACGCCAACTAGGAGCTTCCCAGCAATTAGGTTGAAAATGACAGCAATAAAGATGTTGAACATGGTTGGGGTGATGATACAGCCCTTTTTGACTCCTATTTGTACTTTGAAAGGTTCACTCTGGGAGCCAGTGCTGCTCAGAACAGTCACTTTCATGTTGTCATAAAGCAACTTTAGGGCATTGATGTATTTATCAGGACATCCAATCAGCATAGGCTTCAGTTTGTGTGTCTCCTCAGCCCAGGTTGGCCCTCCATTTATTTTGCAGTGAGGACACAATGATCAAGTCCTCCATTGCATTCCCACTATTCCACCTCAGCCCTGTTTTCTTGCTCTCTGCCTCCTCCCTTCTTCTGCACTGGAAGTTGCCTACACTAGTGTCACATTAAAACCCCACCTTGACTGCTACATGTATGCAATGCTTTCACAGATTTACATAGACATGCCCTCGTGAGAAATCCCCACCCCCCGCAAGAGCTGACTGCTGGGCCAATGCTGACTGCTGCATCTTAGCCACTGCAACTTAGCAGCAGCTGGCAACAGCACAGGTTAGTACAATGCTAAAAGCCTACTCCAAAACATGGGCACTTAGTACAACACCTGTGTGGATGCAGCTACGTGCATCTGGGAGAGGGCTTTGCACTAGGGAAACCTATACTAGGACAAGCCTACTGTTGTATCACTCTGCAATGAAGACATTATTTTCCATGAGGGGCCCCTTGATTCCTGAACTAGTCCCCAGTCCCAATTTGAAAAGCCTCGGGGGATCAATGAAGGTAGCGTTTGGGTTCAATTTTGCTACATTGAATTACCAGCTAGTTAGGTTCATTTACTTTTATTGAAAATAAGCATTGAAGTGCTCCTGGGTGAATATTCCAGGGTGAAATGTGATTCTCTGTACTTGCCCAGGTGCCTAGAGCTGTAAATACGTGTCTTTGGTTTGCTATTTATATCAAAATAAATAAATCAGCTCTATGTACCAACCCATCTGTTATGTCATCTACACAACAGAAATCAATCAGAGTGCAGGCTCCAGTCTGCCACCATTTTTCACATAAACTATTCTTAGAAGTCTTACTGTTGTCCAAGTGGTTCGCCTTGATAATTTTTTCTGAGTAGTCAGATATACTGGAGCATTCGATCTAAAGAAGAACAGGACAAAGGAGAGCTTTGTGTTAAAGACTTCAGACATACTGAGCAGAAATAAAATCTGTTGAACACAGCAGAATTTGCATGACACACGTTACCACAGCAGATAAATCAAAGTTTTATCTGCAGCCTTGCCATGGGAAGGCTGGCTTGAAAACTGAAAAGTGGTTGTGTTATATGTGAGTTTCTCTAAAATGATATGTAAATATGAAAGGAAGAGGTCATATGTGATAGACTGCATAGCACATATATTCATACCTTAATCTATCCCAATTACTTCAGAATCTGTTGGAAAATCTGTTGCATTCCTCCCCCCCCCCTCCTGCCACTTCCCAAAAAAGCCAATCATTAAAAGAACTCAAGAGAATGAAAAGCATGTTGCAAAATTTCCAAACACAGTTGAAAAAATATACTTCCAAACTGTTCAAGCTGTGTCTGCATCCAAACCATTTCAGTACTTATCTGCTTGGAAAAGCAACTATTCATCAGTTCCATGATTTGCCTCCTTTGATTCCAATGTCTATCATTGAAAGGGGATTCAGAAATGTTCATATACAAAATTACTGACTGTACTTTTAAAACAGCCTTCAGAATTCTTGTGCCCCCAGGACCTTCTTCTCTCCCTCTCGTGTCCTATGTCAAATGCTGTGCTGCTTCAAATGTCTGTTTTGGAGACTCAGAGTCAGATTCTGCTCTCACATGGGTTTTACATCCCTGTGACTCCATTGGGCCTGGTTATCTTCTCATTGTCATCTATATATTTCAGCATAGCACTGGAGACTCAGCACCATTGACTTAAGCAGAGTTACTTCTGTGATGTAAATGAGGTCTACACTTGTCCTTCAGTTAATTCTTCCTGGCTTGAAAAATGTGCAGACTACAGCTTCCATAGCACATGAGGAGATGGGTGGGGTATAAGCCATCTCTTTTTCTATTCTCCATAGTGGTTTTCCATCATCTCTCAACCCCATTTCCCGATCCTGGCAGCCAGGAGCCAGTTAGGCTCTTGGCACAAGTTACAGCAATCACAGAGGAGGTTCCCCTGGTCTCAGATCAGTGAAGCACAGCCCACTTTGATCCAACCCCATGCAGCCCACCAATATGCCCCGGTGTTGTAGGAGTGGGCACTGGCTTTAAACCACACCTGTGTTAACCAATGCAAAGGGAATGCCCAGCGGCCTTCTAAGGCTTCTTGCTGGCCACTTTGTGCTACCTGAGCACCACAAATTGGAAGCAAGAATTGGTTTTTGCAAGTCACAGTTTTAATTCCATATTGGCATGATGCTGAATCAGATATAGGAAGGCAAGTAGAGCAGGTATTAAAAAAAACATCTGGCCAATGCGAGTAAGTGCGGTGCCTTATTTAGTAGCTGCTTTTTGTGCTAGCTGGATAAATGTACTACAGTTCTCAAAATCTTTCAACAAATCCTCTCAAGTTGATATTCTATCTATAAATGTCCTTCTGTATTTATGAAACCCATATACACCCTCCATCAACTCTGTCCTGAACTTTGCATTTAGGCTACTCATCAGGAAGGATGCACCTGGGGAAAAAACTTTGTTCTGTAACCATCATTTTTGGATTAAGACGTACATCCTAGGAAAGAGGACTGTGGAAAAGAATCTAAAAGTCACAGGAGACCACAAGCTAAAAACCGTGTAACATTGTCTCAAAAAAAGGAAATATCATTCTAGATTATATTAGCAAGAGTGTTGTAAATAAGGCATGAGAAGTAATTTTTCCTCTCTACTCTGTGCAGATCAGGCCTCATTTGGAGAAATGTGTCCAGTTAAAAAAGATGTGGAAAATTGGAGAAAGTCCAGGGAAGAGCAACAAAAATGATTAAAGATCTAGAAAACATGACTTATGAGGGAAGACTGAAAGAACTGGGTTTGTTTAGTCTGGAAAAGAGAAGACTGAGAAGGGACATAACATTCATCAAGTACACAAAAGGTTGTTACAAGGAGGAACGAGAATGTTCTTCTTAACCTATGAGGATAGGACAAGGAGCAATGTGCTTAAATTGCAGTGAGGGAGTTTTAGACTGGACATTAGGAAAAATTTCCTGTCAGGGTAGTTAAACACTGGCCCCAAAGGAGTGAAATTAGAAACAAGATTGACTACAGCTAGGTGGCACTCTGGGGGAGCATGGGTAAGCAACTTGGGGCATGGGAGATCTGTGGCACTAGTTTCAAAGATCAGAGAGGCTGGTCTGCAGAGTCCCATGTTCCAAGGAAGACCTCAGGCACGTAGTCTGTGCGTGAGAATACACTATAGACCCAAAGCTGAAAATAGCTACTAGCATAGCCAGGTCCAGGGGGCTTTGAAGCACATGGGACCAGCTGTTGGCTCCACTTACAACAGCCTGGAGGCCATCAAGAAGGGGACTGGGCCAAATGGCAATACAGAGCATAATGTTTTTTGAAGTTCTAAACACTTTGGCTTGCAAAGTGTGTCAGGGCTGTAAGAGACTTTTTCCTGCAGTTTATACATTCTCCAGCTCACTCGTGTAGAGCCGATAAGTTCTGCAAACGAAAGGCTGCAGCCTTTCTCCTTCAGAGCTCAAAACCCTGCTGACACTTCCAGCCCCCAGCACATTTATCTGAAAGTGTTGATTATCCAACTGAGTTGATTATTTAAATACATTTTAATGGGCCTTATTACTTGCAGATAATCAGCTATATAATAGTACAGTATAAAAATGAGAGAGTAAACTCATTAACCCAAATGCTATATTTGGAATAATGGATTTCTTTGGGTTGGAAAAAAAACCTATAGTAGCTCACCTAGTCCATCCTCCAGCATTATTATGGCAGCATTAAACCAATTATCTATTGCTATCTCTCTAGGCAGTTTTATCTACTGATTGAGCTATTCTGAGAGTTATAATAATTTTCCAGATATTTTACTTAATTTTCACATGCTGAAACTTCAAGGGGCACTACCAATTTAAAATTTACATTTATGGCAGAAAGTGTACCATTAGAATTAGCACCTAAGATAGCTGTAACTGAAAGCAACCAATTTGTTTAATGTGTATATCTGAGGACACTTTTTGATTATGGCTCATTTAACTGCTTCCTCTGTACCATGAGTCATTTAGTCAGTTTCTCCTTCATTTATGTGGGTGATTCACCCATAAAAAGAAGAGAGAAACATATTTTCTTGAACTAGGAAATCTGTAAAAGCACAAAAATGACAAGGGGATTAAAAGGTAGGTATTATATGTTAAATTAACTTTAACTTTTTCTTTTTTTTAAACTGACTAGATTCAAGCTGAAGATGTCTCTATTTTTGTCTTCTCTAGACTAATGGGAATTACTGATCCTTGTCATCCCTTTCTCATATTTATAAATAGATAACTTTCAACTCCATCATATTTTCACAAGACTACAAATGCTCAGTTCTCTCCAGTTTTCCTCATGTCCTATTTTAAATCTTTTAAATGGGCATGTAATGAGGGGTTAAGAGTCATGGCTTCTGTCCCCAACTTTGCCATTAACACTGCCTGACCTTACATTATACATGTATTTTAAGCTGCCCATGCCTCCGTTCCTTTTCTGGGAAAACAGGAATCGTTATAATTACCCATATTTGTAAAAGTGTTTTAGTAACTCTGGAAAACTATTTTTTGCTCTCTGAAATCTCATAATTTGTGTCTCCTTTTCAAAATGTGTATCTCAAAACTATGAAGTAAACTGACGGTTCCCTAAACATTTCTGAGCAGTGTGCAACAATAACCTTGCTGGATTTATCCCATGCTCATTAGTACAACCCAAGATAAACATGAGCCTTTTTAGAGAAGCATCAGATTGTTGACAAAAATTCAGTTTATATCCCCCTACAGTTGCTTTAACTGCAAGACTGCTGCCTAGCCAATGTCTTTCAATTTAAAAATGTGTGCATTTAATTATTTCTTCCTCCATGAACCACTTTACATTTGTCTTTATTGAATTACCTTGATGGATTTTTCAATCTATGTCACTGGCACACTTTTATGACTGTTTTTATATTGGATAGTGGTGGCACCTAAAATGTTTCCAGTTCCTGTAGCTAACTTGGCAACATTACCTCAATATTTGAAGTAACTACTGAGGCAGAAATAGAAACGTATAAAGTGTAACCACCAGGCCCACCGACTGGGGGAGGGCAAAGGGAACAATTGCCCCGGGACCTGGTGATTCAAAAGAATCATAGATCTGCCACTAGAATCATAGAGCTGGAAGAGACCTCAGGAAGTCATCAAGTCCAGCACAATCCCAACTAAATCATCCCAGCCAGGGCCCTGTCAAACCAAGACTTAAAAACCTCCAGGGATGGAGATTCCACCACCTCCCTAGGTAACCCATTCCAGTGCTTCACCACCCTCCTAGTGAAATAGACCTCTCCCACTGTAACTTGAGACCATTGCTCCTTGTTCTGCCATCTGTCACTACTGAGAACAGCCTCTCTCCATCCGCTTTGGAACCTCCCTTCAGGAAGTTGAAGGCTGCTATCAAATCCCCCCTCACTCTTCGCTTCTGCAGACTAAACAAACTCAAATCCCTCAGTCTCTCCTTGTAGGTCATGTGCTTCAGCAACAGCAGCGGCTGGAGCCCCAGGCCCTTTAAATCACCACTGGAGTACCACACAGCGCATTCCAGTGTGGTGCACTCTGAGCGGTGCTGAGGGCTGGCTGCCCCCACCCTCTGGCCCCTTCTTCCACCTGAGCCCTGCACCCCTTCTGGGAGCTCAGAAGCCCCATCACCTTTTCCAAGGGCCTGAAGAGTCTGTCAGTTCCCCTGGTAACCACTATATCCATGAAACTATTTGGGATTCTGTCCAAACTTTGAGTCAGTCTTTTTTTATCCTGCAAGTTGCAAATCGAAACATTGAGTAGTGTTGTACCTTGAACAAACCCCTTGAGGAACCACATGTAATATATTGTCCATATTTGACATTAAAATATCAAGTAATGCCCTGTGTAATCCTCATTGCTCTAATTTCCCTATAGGAATGTCATATGGAATCTTCTAAAATGCCCCTCTAGAGTTGCTATATCCAATGAATTTCTTTTAACCAATAAGGGCTAAATTATGGTTGGCCCTTATGAAACTGGGTAGCAAGATAGAAGAGTAGTAGGGAAGAAGGAGTGCATGAAGTCTCCCTTTTTTGTGAAGCCCATATAAGGGCCAATCACAGCAGCACACAAGAACACTGTGCTCCCTGCCAGTACTTCTGTGTGCAGAAACTTTCCCAAAAGGAGTGAGGACCTGGTAGAGCATAGCCTTAGCACTGCTTTTTGTCCTCAGTCCTGCAGCAGTACAGCTATGTAGAAGGTAGTAACGAAGCCCTGTAACAGGAGCACTTCATAAAGCCTGGGGAAGATTTCTTCCTCCTAGGAGGTGAAATTTCTTCCCTAGCTCATGACGGCACATCTTCTCTTGCTGTGGGTGCTTTGCACAGTCTAGCCCTGTAACAGTAATCTTAGCAAAGGGCCCAATTTCACAGCCCTTACTCACAATTTTCCATGTCTTGTGTTTTAATTAGACTTCTAGTTCTTCATGTTTATTCCTGATTAATCCTGAATCAATTACAGAGACATCTATATGTTTGGAGGTTGCTCCCCGGCCTTTCTAACCAGACCTGTGCAAAGGACAGACATTCCTTTTCATAAATAAAAATGAGATTTCTAAAATGTTGGCTTCATTCCAGCTAGGAATGAAAATGAAAAGTTTCAAAATTCAGTAAAATTCTAGAAAAAAATAGCATGGGGTCAATCAAAACATTTTGTTTCAATTTCAACTTTTAAAAATGGTATATTATAAGTAATACAAAATAAAAATCTAAACAACAAGTAATTTCAAAATGAGACATTAAAACAATTCTGTCCACATTTCTAAGTATTTTGATTAACAGAATTTCAACATCTGATGGAATATGGTCCCATTTAAATTTCTCCAGCCAGCTCTAATTTTAGCTCCACCTGTCTCTTCCCAGCTCTTTTTGATTTGCTTCTCAAATGTGAATTTGATCCCTAAACCTCTTCTTTTTATTGTGGACTCCCCTGATACATTGGCCATTGATTTGCATAGCTAAGTTTTAGCCCCTCACAGCATCCTTTATCACTTCCTTTTTACAGAATTCCACTCTTGCTAGCTTAGAAGACAGGTGATTGTGTGCTTCAATGGAGCCTGTGTGATCCATCCTGCCCCCCACTTGACAAGGAATCAGTAGTTCCTGAACTTTACATACTGTCCTTTAAAGTCCCAACAAGAAAACCAATGATTCTAACTCCAGCATTGCACCCAGCAAACTGATTTCTGGGTCATTTGTCCAAGAAGAGAGAGAGAGCATATACATTCTCATGCTAAAGAGCTAAAAGCATTTGTTATAGTAACTTGCTGTTGATCTATAATGTTTTCTGTATCATGTGTTTATCTCCTAATTAAAAATACCCAATTTAAACTAAAGTCATATGTATGCCTAATATGTTATTTCATGATTCCCTTTGCTCCCTGGTTTGGCTAGAACACTACAAAATGCAAACTGTTTAGCTGCAGAAGAAGGCTCTTTGTTAGTGTTTTGCACATCTACAATACAGCAACTAATTTCAGGTTTACACCCCCAACTAGGAACAGGCCACATTCCCACATCCCTCTCTATGTTCAGACACCAAGTCACTCAGAAAGCCTCTGCCCCAGCTCTGTGTCCTGTTCCCATAGTCACACTGACCCTACTTCACTTGTTGGGAGCTCACGAACGCTACTAACAAGGTGGCTGAGGAAGGAGGTGACGAGAAAGGCATACATTTAAAAATCTGAACTCAAAAGAGAACAAGTGAAGTAGGACAAAGATGAGAGAACAATTACAAAGTCTTCATCCCAGTTAGTGGCTCTCTGGTTGGTAGGTTAGGTGTGTGCCTTGGTTGACATTAAAAGTCTGCATTTACCATAGAATCATAGAATACTAGGACTGGAAGGGACCTCTAGAGGTCATAGAGTCCAGTCCCCTGCCCTCATGGCAGGACCAAATACTGTCTAGACCATCCCTGATAGACATTTATCTAACCTACTCTAAAATATCTCCAGAGATGGGGAGTCCACAACCTCCCTGGGCAATTTATTCCAGTGTTTGACCACCCTGACAGTTAGGAACTTTTTCCTAATGTCCAACCTAAACCTCCCTTGCTGCAGTTTAAGCCCACATGCGTTACCTGAGGCACCCCAGTTATTTCCTGTTTTACACATCAAGAAAAACTGGGACAGCCCTGTGTGATAACTCTTTGAAACTGGCTTTTTTGCATACACTAAGGCCCAGAGTGTCCAGGGCTCTTTACCACCATATAGGCAGCATAGTGTTCAGTTCTGTTCTGAAAAGTGCCCATTAAAATGTATTCCATGTTTATTTTCACAATGGCTTCAGGTCAAATGTGCTCAGTTTATGGGAAAGAATGTGTGCTTTCTAACTGCCAGCCCTGCATTTTCAGTCCATGCTCTAAATCAGGGTTACTCAACTTTGGAAGCCCCGGGGGCCACAATGATACTCTCAGCACAAGCCAAGGGCTGCAACTTAAGTCTGGTTGCATATACATGCAAATATTTATGCAAATATATGCAGCTTCTTTCACACTGATGGGCATGAATACAAAGATTAAGGCAACACTACACAACACACAGGCCCCATTGAAGTCAGTTCTGCTGATATTAATACAATGCAATATTTACCTGATTTCCACCCATATGTCAGCACTTTTAATGAGCAATGCCAGTCCAGGAATTTAACAACTAAAACACATATAAACAGAAGACCATTATAGGCCATGTGTTGAGCCCTGCTTAAATCCAAACCACATCGCGGGCCACAAGCAAATGGGCCACAGGCCGCACGTGGGCCATGGGCCGTGTGTTGAGTAGCCCTGTTCTAAATCTAACATTCTCAAATAGGGGCTTTGGATTTGGCTTGTATCCATTTTGCACTGCTCAACCTGACACACCTGGTGCCTCAAATTAATCACCCCAAAATTGTGGCATTCAAAATCAAGGGCCACTTTTGAAAATTTGGGCCTAAGAGTCAAGCTGAGTTCTTTGCCTTCCATGCTCCATCAGTAATAATACAGATCCTTCACTTAGGCCCTCAGTTACATCTGCCTGTGCAAAATATTTGCTTTCAGTGAACAGCTGTAACTGTCTGGAACTCAGAAAACCATTTTGTCAATGAGGCACAAGTAGGAATAAAATCCAGCTCTCTTATCTCTGAGCTGTTTTGGCTCTGCAGGGCAAACAGGAGTGAAAAGCAATACAAACTTTATCAGCCACTTTGAAGTCAGCAGAAATAACTCTCAATATACTCAGGGAGCAGACTTGTTGAATAAGAAGATGCAACTTCTATATAATCACTTCTAATAATAGAACTGCACTTTAGCGTTCCCTATATACAGTGCATTTGAAGTAATCATTCCCTGCCTTTTCTGAGGAGTGGAGTAATGGATATAGAAAGTCTACAGATGCTTTCAGTTTCAGCTCCTCTGGTTGTAATGTACAGGCAGGCTAGATTGAAGGAATTAATTCCGGGTGCTTTGAAGGTCCTGGGAACATAAGGAAAATCAGAAAAGGCAGCGCTCTCTCTATCAACTTTTCTAAGAGGAGCAAGAAGCCTTTAATTTTTGTAATACAATCAGTGCAGGTCACACACATAACCATCACAAGGAAAAATGGAACAGTGAAAAGAGGGATTCCTTTGCTCTTTGGAAAGGACATCGACAGCCAGATTCTTAGCTGATGCAAATGGGCACAGATCCACTGAATCAGTGGAAATGTACTCATTCATACCAGCTAAGAATCTGGCCAAAAATGTGAGGCTGTATGTCAAAACAAGACATGGAAACACGTGAAAAAAGAAAAGAAAACTTACGTTTCCCCCCTCTCGCCTTCTCAAAAATAAAGTTGTGAGGAAAAATTCTTCTTACCCCGTACACCTTCTTGGCTCCTGCCTTGGCAGCAAACATTGAGAGGATTCCTGTGCCACTTCCAACATCCAATACAATCTTATCCTTAAAAACATGTTTATTGTGATACATGGAGTTTCTATATGTTAATGTGCGCACCTCATCCTTTAACATTTCCTGTGTTGAAAGAAGGCATCACATGTTTATTTATGGACAGTGCAGAATCTGTTGCATCATTAAAATTCAACATTTTAAAGAGTTTTTCGGGTGCTTTGGAACAGATCCAGCATTCATTACAGATCAAGATCACTTTAAAATGCAAACCACTAAGAAGTGAATTAGCAAGAATCAAGATGGTCTCATTCATCTTCTCTTATTTCCCTCAAATATTATTTTACTCTTAAAAATGACAACCAGAAATTATAGTCAATCCACAGTACTGCTGTGGGCATAGGCAAAAACCTTCCCCTCCTCCCCTTGGGCTTTCTGCTTAGACTGCCAAAAGAGTAAACATGGTGGTGGTGGTTATGGTAGGCTTTATAATATTGACATCTCCACAAAGAACTGGACATAGACCAATTTCAGTAAGTTCACTAAGTCACCAGACATACTGTGGAAGGTAATGACTATCGCTACTCACTAGAATATGAATTGGTGAACTAATAATACATAGTACATTTTCCCAGTAGGTATGGTAGCACACAAGTCTCCTTACTCACATTTTACTCTCCTATTCTCTGCATCTCACTGCTGCACTACTAGAAGGATCTTAGTCCAGTTTCTAGTGGATATGTGTGCAGTATGTAGACATTATCTCTTGATCAGTCCCTTCAGGCATTCAGTTCCTTTTTTCTGAAGTTGTCACTGATAGAGGCCAGTTCCTATCTCATGCTAATTTTTCAGAGGTGTAACTCTTCACATCAATGGAGTCAATCCTCATTTGCACTAGTGTGAGGAAAATAAAACAAACTGGGGAAATATTTTCAAAAACACTTAAGCGATTTAGGCACCTAAATTCCATTTTCAAAAGTGGTTTGGCACTAAAGAGCCACTCGGTTGTTTCTGAAAACATCAACTGTTATGTCTAAAAGCCAGTAATTTTGATTGCTCCTGCTGTCCTCACTGAATAAACATAATCAGTAAGATGAAAGCAGGTTGAATGCCAAGATACGTGAAAGCACTAATGCCAAGCAGTGGAAGCATTGGGGAAAGGATTACCATACACTGGTTGCTTGTCTGGCTGGGTGGATTACTTTCAAGGAGACACTGGTTATATCTGTTAAGTGTTGCCATGTAAGGGGACATGTTCTCATGGAGTGCAGCTTTATATAAAATACTGAAATGGATAGAGGATAATCTGTTTTTACTTAGCATGAAATAGGAGCTGCTGTAGCAATGTTAAGACTAGTCCAATTCTCATGTTTGCTTGTTTCTCACTACTTATCTGAAACATTTTGGCACCATTTAATGTTTCCTGATCAGAGCATGTGTTTTTAAGGGCTGATTTTCAAAGACAAAATATATTTTATGAATGTAAAATCTGACCTTAGAGATGAAATTTTCAAATTTCCTAGGGGGGTTGCATGCCAAACTATCAATAATTGGAATGGGAATGCAATGCCTAAATCCATTTGGTGGCTTTGGAAAACCTCAGCCTAAGTATGGGTTTAGTGGCTTAGCTTTAGGTACCCATATCTGAAAAAATGTTCCTGTAACTTTTTGTATACACAGAAGATGACACAACCTTTTCTGTGAAGTACCTGCATGCCAAGGGCCAGATAATGTCCTCCACATTTTTGAACACAAAAGATGCAGTAAAACTGTCCAATAACTGTCAGAGGGAGGGAAACAGTTGCAGTGAAGTGCTAGCAACTTTCTCCTTTTTCTGCGGTGAGAATCCCCTTTGTATGAATTATACATATTGAAGGTTTGTGGATTTCAAAGGGGGGAGAGATGGTTAGGCAGAGATGATTGGGTGTCTCAGTAACCTTATAACAAACTTGATCCATTTATTTACAAACGTAACAATATTCTTCTATCCACTACCCATGAAACTCACCCTGGTAACTGAGATACAAGCTAAACTCTTTTTGTCTCATACATCACCCCTAGTAGAACTTCTGCTGTTCTAATATAATCCTTAGGTACAACTGAACAACTCCATTGTTGTCCTAGAATGTTATGCCTTCTTCAATACCCTTTCCATTTCCTCCCACAACTGTCACTGCATCATTCTGCCCCTTGTGTGGGGAATGCCCTTCCAAAATCTGTTTACCAAGCTTCTAGCCTGGCCTCATTCAAATCACTATTAAAAGTTGTAGCATCTCCTACAAAATTCCTAAATTTCTCTGAACGTAGCACACAGAAAAATGAAACTAAAAACAGGAAAATTTCAAATAGCAACAAGGACCAAAAGCTGAACAAAATACATAAGTGGTCCCAAAAAAAAAAATAACCCCCAAAAAACCCACAATGAAAAATCCCAACAAAACACAAACCAAAATTAAAGGAAAGAAATCCTAGTCAGTCATGGCATTTCTACACTAAGATATTATTCTGAAATCATTTATTTTGAAAAAATAACTCCCGAAATAATAATTTCAAAATAGTGTTTCCACACTACGATGAAGCCTCAAAATTAGTCCATGACAGGTTCTGTTAATGTGGACGCGCTACCTCGACTTAGAGCTCCAGGAAGCACTGGGGAGTAATTACTCTGAATGATTCTGGGAAGTAGTTATTTCAAAATAGCAGCAGTGAAGCATCCACACCACCGCTATTTCAAAATAGCTGTTTTGAAATAAGCATTATTCCTCGTGGAAAGCAGGAGTTCTTATTTTGAAATAACGGACCTGTAGTGTGGGTGCTCTGCTTATTATTTTGAAATAACTCCCTAGTGTAAACTAGGGCTTACAGATGTTAATGCCCATACAGTGATGTCATCAGTGATTTCATGATGTGTCTTGTAAATGACAGAGATTGCCTTGGGTTGCATCTATACAGCAGGGCTTAACTCGAAATAAGCTGTGCAAATTGAGCTATGTCAAATTGAGCATATTTCAAAATTGGGAGCATCTACACAGCACTTATTTCGAAATAGAGTGCTCTTCCTCTGACTTTCCTTATTCCTCATACACTGAGGGTTCCAGGAATTGGAGTAAGACGTCCTACAGCTTGACAGTATTTCGACATTATTTTGAAATAACTGCCTGCTGTGTAGACACGGACTAAGTTATTTCAAAATAACACTAGTTATTTTGCAATAATGTTTCTGTGTAGACGTACCCTTGGAGTCCTTACCAATTTTCCCTTAGATAAATGCTTGCATCTCCCACTGAAATCAATAGGAATGTGGCATGCATATCTGAAGGGAAAATATAGCCCACTGTGCATTGTACGCAGCATTGAGTTTAAATGTTCTAGCAAAGAAAGAGCTAGCTTACTAAAGAGGTATGTCCTTTCCATGTGGGTGGACCTGTTCTGCAACCCTTATAGTCATGCTAAGTAGCACCTCCTTAAGGTGAAATTCCCCACTGTGCAGAGAGCCAGCATAAGTCTGATGCACCACAGAGGGCCTCTTTTGAGAATTTAAATGATGCATAGGCCTAGAGGTGACCCTCTGCATGGGGATGGAGTTCATCATTATTAGCACTTAATCAAAGGAACCATTGCCATGAGTAAAGATTGTCAGATCCTTGGCAAATTGGTGCATCCAGAGTGTGTGTGGTGGCTACCATAAAAACACTGAAAACATGCTGCCCTTCCATATTTTTACTGAGAAAAGAAACCCTTACCTCGTGGATTCCGAAGTGTGCATAGGAGTCAAAATAATAATCCCTGGATGTCATTTCTTCTGGATTCAGGAGTTTTGCCATCTTGCCTCGCCCTGGGCAACTTGGTTGCAAAGGTACATGAATGACCGATTGAACAGGCTTTGGAATGACAATAGGCTGAGGAGGCTGGGAAGGACCACTGCAGACCTAGAAAGATACCAATTATTATTGCAACAGTCATTAGTCACAGGACATTGCTCTGAGTCTACAGTGCTGTCTCTGTCTTACCAGGGATATGATTATCATTACAGTAAGTTAGATGTAATGGAGAGGTGGCATGATGCAATGAATAAAATTTAGGGATAGGAACCAGTTACTGCTCCTTTTTAATCCTCTTTTACTCACTGTATGGACGTTGGAAAAGTTTCTTGCCTGATTCTCCATTGCTCTGACCCTTGTGTAGTCACTTCCAACAATGCGAAGACGGTGAAAAAGTGGGTGTAAAATGTTAGCACTGGTGTGAGCGGGGAACTTTGGTGTGTTCTTCTGTTCACCAACTTTTCACTTATGTAAATGACTACACAAAGTGAAAGTAAATGGGCCTTCTCTTTTAGCTTTTTCCTCTCTAAGACTGTGGCAATAATGTTTACTATCCTACCTTATAAATATGTGAATTAGAGTAAACAAAAAGGGTACCTGTATAGAAGAGCTCTTAGTCAAAGGACCATCTTACAAATACTGAAACCCTCAGGCAAGGAGCTGAATTTTCTCATCTCAACTTAAAAGTCCCTGAACATTCAAAGAAATAGCTGCTGTGGGGCTGAGTAAGATATGCTATCCCTTATGTTTTACTCTTCTGATGCTGGTAGCGTGCTCAGTGTGGATGCATCTATCTCTAGTTCCCCACAATCTTCTGTGCAATTGCACCTCTTTCAGCACAATTTCAATAGGGACCTGAGGGCACACATCACCTCATAGGATCAGACTTGATAGCTGCAGTTAGTACAAAAGATGTAGTAATACAATACAGAACACAGAATCTTACATTAACATTGTGTCTGGAAAAATCATGGAGGCTGTGGGTTGTTAAATGCATCTCCATCTTTAATTGCAGCATGAGACAAACTTCTAAACAGAGTGAGAAAAACTGGAAGAGATTACAATCTCAGAGGAATGTAAAAGTTGCCCTATCATTTATGGATCATCACCATCAATTTATTTGTGGAGGAAGCCTCAGAAATTCCTCCACCTAAAATATTCCATCCTTATTCTACTTGTTTTCAGATTTTAAATTCACTAATTCCCCAGCCATGACTTCATTTTCTGCAACCACTGCTTGATATTTTTTCTGAGGTTTGAATTATCATTTGCAGTTTAGTGTTGCAAGAGATCAATCACTTGTTCTGGCTCTGAATAGCACCAATTAGCCTAGTTTAGCTTACTTTGATAAAAAAGTGACATTAACCTTTCTTTCCTTGCTCATGTATAATTTTAAACATGTCTGTTTTTGATGGTTTCTTTGGTCCATCTGTTGAAAATTAATAGTAATAACTCACAATCCTGCAATGCCTTTCATCCTGAAGGCTCTAAAACTGCTTTCATCATAGAAGCTGGAGCTGGAAAAATCCCTTTTCATCCAGTCCATCTTCTAGCCATTGCAGGATTGTTCCCTATTATTGTTTGTTCAGTCCATTCCTTGGGACTATAAAAACTGGGGCTTCAGCCACTTCTCCAATGAGACAATTCCACTTCTCATTTCATTAAGACTTTTTCATAATAGTTATTCACATTTTTCTCCTCTTAATTTCATCCCATCACTCCTAGTTATACCACCATGTAATGCCCTAAATAATTGTTGAACCTGTCAAATGTCCGCAGATTATAATCATATCCCCCCCGTAACCTTGTTTGGTTCCTAAATCAAGTTCTCTAACCCAAAGGTTCTTTGCACTCTCTCCACTTTGTCACTGTCTTTGACAAAGTGGGATGCTTAATGAGAAGTACATGAGAAGTTGCATAAGAGACATATATGGCAAAGGAGAGAGGATCTATCACCCTTTTATTCAATGATGTCATGCCTTTTGTATGGGAAGCCAAAAGGGACACTGGCCTGCTTCATGGTCATAGTGTAAATCCATTTTTAATTGGCTGTACAAGGCTATGTCTACACAGCAGTGTTATTTCGGAATAACTAACATAGTCCGCATCTACACCCAAGCAGCTATTTCGACATAATGTTGAAATGCTGTCAAGCTGGAGGATTGCTTACTCTGGCTCCTGTAACCCTCATTGTATGAGGAGTAAGGGAAGTCAGGGGAAGAGTGCTCTATCTTGAAATAAGTGCTGTGTAGACAGCACTATGCAATTATAAAGAGCAAAGATGATCTTCTGGTTAAGGTACTGGCATAGCTTTCAGGAGATCTAGATTCAATTCCTGAGTTTATTTCCAACTTCCAAAGCCAGGTTATTTAGGCTATGTCTCACTGCAACGCTATTTCAGGATACCGAAGTATCCCGAAATAGCTATCCCCCGTCTTTACAGTAAGCCCGTTATTTCAGACTTACTATTCTGATGCCCCTATAAACCTCATTCTGCAAGGAGTAAGGGACATTTCGGAATAGCACTTTATTTCTAAATTTGGCATTGTATAGACAACGCCAAATGACAAAATAAGCTATTTCAAATTAGCATTGAAATAAGATATGCAATTTGCATAGCTCAAATTGTGTATCTTATTTCAAGTTATGGTGCCGTGTAGATGCACCCTTAGGGTTTGTCTGTGATAGCATAAGAGGTCAAGTTTCACTAACAAACTTTTTCATAACGTAGACACAGAAAGAAGGGAACCTCAATGTTCCTGATGGAGGAGGGATCTGGTCTTGCACCAACTGATTCATCTCTTTATAAAGTAAATCACAAAGCACTACCATTCTTTGCAGTCTCTCTCAGAGAAGCCACTACAGCTTTCATTTTTTGGCAAAGGCCTGTACATCCAGGCAGTGCCAAGTTAATAACTGTTATCATGCTATTGAGCCTGCATTATTTCTGAAAATTTTCACTTGGTGTTACTAGCGCATCTCAGCTCTTCCAAAAAAAAAAATGATAGAAGTATTGAAGCACCTGGAACAGGCACAATAAATCACCTCTGAGCATGATGTTGCAGTACATGGCTATAGGTTGGAGAAAAATTATAGTTTTGTGATAGAAACTCAGGAGACCTGTGTCTTGTTCCCCAGGTCTGCCATAGACACCCTGCGTGATCTTAATCAAGTCAGCTAATTTCTCCGTGCCTCGGTTTCCCACCTGTCAAATGTGGATAGTAATAATCCCTTACCTCAGAAAATGCTGTGAAAACAAATTCATTGATGTAAATGAGGCACTCAGGTACAATGAGTGTCATAGGAAAGCCAGTGAATACTGCCAGAACACCAGAAAACAAGGACGAGGAATATGATGAAAGAATGTCTATTGTGCTGGAAACAATGAAGTCTGCAAGTCTGAAGCTCAGCAAAGAGAAGTGCTTGCTGAACCAGAAACTGCTAGACTTCTTTGGACATGTTTTAAATGCCCCAGATGAAAGGCAAGCTCCAGAGTAAAGCCATTAAGGAAAGGCAGCTTCCTGAATCTATTCCAGAACTGAAAAGAAGCCTTAGTTTGACTTACCAGCTTGGCAGGTGTATACCTAATCTGTCAGAAACAATACATCCTTTGAATAACACCTACAAAGGGAAAACCTCTGTACTGGGAGCAAGCACCAGAACAGACATTGTAAAGAGTCTAACAGCTGCTGTCTGAAGCTGCAATACTTACTTCCTATGTTGTCAGTAAGTCCAGCCATTATAGGTATGGATGCCACTGATTATGAATTAGAGGGGCTATTACTGCAAGATCTTAATAGTCTACTGAGACCAGTCACATACTGTTCCAGAACACTGATTAGTCTGAGACCTACTGACATTCAAAATAATATGGTAAAAAGGTATCCTCTGAGTCCTCCATCAGTGTGCCCAGAAATACTGTCTAGCAGCATTACCAACACTTCCACTGCTTACTGGGCTTTTAGAAGACACTGAGGGGTAAATTAGAACTAAATAACAGCACAGAACACCGAGAGCCAGGACTAGTAAATATAGACAAGCTTTAAGGGACTGTGGGGAAACTTGGCCACACCCATGATAAGTGGGCATTAAGCCTATGTCTACACTGCAGGGTTTTCTGGGATACCAGAGGTATCCCGGAAAAACTCTGCTGCGTCCAGGGAACATGTTTGCTCTTCCGCTTTTATTCACGGAAGAGCAGACACGCTCTTTCGGGGAGCCCTGTATACCTCATTCTACTAGGAATAAGGGCTCCTCCAAAAGAAGAGGCTTTCCCGCCATTTGGCCCAGGGAAAAAGCCTCTTCTGGAAAAGCAATTGGAAAAAGCTATGCAAATTGCAGAGTGCAATTTGCATGGCTTTTTCCGAAACAAAGCTATAGTGTAGACATAGCCTCAGCTAACTAAAATCATGCCAGACCACAAATGTTGACAGACCACAGAGTGCTGTACTACAGAGGCTCAACATGTTCTGCAGAAAATGATTTGTGGGTCATGGTAAATAAGAAGCTAAATATGAGTCAACATTATAACACTATTGCAAGAAACCCAAACATCATTCTGGTATGTATTATCAGGGTGTGATGGATAGGAGTGCTAGCCAGCATGCGATGACTAAAGGGTTAAACTCATGTAGCTAGGGGGTGTTGGCAGGGAGCCAGGAGAGCCAATGGAAGAGGGTGTTGGAATTTGAATGAAAGGTATACTGGCCTGCTGTTATCCTTGTGGAAGTTTTAAGCTAGGAGGTTGGAAAACAAGATGAATTAAACCAGGCAGAACTACTATGCCTACAAGAAATACTGGGCATGGAAATGGACTGGGCCTTATAGCACAGATTGCAAGTAGATAGGAAAATGTCTATTTAATCGAGATCAGATTATTTTCTTTGTTTTGTTAAACTTCTCCGTGTTAAGTCCGTGTGCCCCTCCATCCTCCCCATATACTTCATTTTAAGCTTTTGAGGAGTCCTGTGGCACCTTATAGACTAACCAAAGTGTTGAAGCATAAGCTTTCATGGGCAAAGACCCACTTCTGATGCATCTGAGGAAGTGGGTCTTTGCACACGAAAGCTTATGGTCCAATACTTCGGTTAGTCTATAAGGTGCCCCAG